CTAAGAAGAATTACAAACACTGGCGTGATTCATGGAAAATTAGTCATGTAGAAGAGTGGCCAGACAATGTGGATTTTATTCATAAAGATATTTCAGAAGCAAGTGAAGACATAAAATCTTTAAAATTTGATGCGGTAAGTTTTCAAAAGTGGTTCCTAGGATATTGCTTAATACTGTGTGTGAAGAAAACCAGGATCACAGTTCTTTTGTATGGGAGAGGGTCTTCCTTCATTGTTTGCCCCATTTCTGTATCTAGCATGGAAAGAATACTTTTTCTTCAATATCATGGTGGGATTTAGAGTAGAGAGACTTACTGAATCAGTTGCCAAAGTTATTAATAAATACGGGGTAGTGAACAAGGAGGAGGAGTTGAGCATCATAAACCTCAGCATTTTTAGATAAAGCAGTGTTGGGAGCATGTTGAACCCAGCACCTGACCTCATGTTGTGAGGTTTTGGGGGAATAAATAGCTTCTATTTGAGAGGGACCAGGCAGGAGGTATCTTAGACAGTTAAAGTCGGGATGTAGAAGAGTATTCGTTAACAGTGTTGAGGATTCATTCTGACTCCTGTGCTTCTCTCACATTTCACAGCCAATCCTATTTGGCTCTTACTTTTTCAAAATTTATACCACTTCTCATCACATCCAATGCTGTTTGCTGTTGCGAGCCATCATTATCCTTCCTTACCCTCTCCCAGTCTTTTTTTTTTTTTTAATATTTTTATAGATTTCAGAGAGGAAGGGAGAGGGAGAGAGATTTTGAATCATCCATGATGAGAATCACTGATCGGCTGCCTCCTGCACGCCCCCTACTGGGAATCGAGCCGCAACCCGGGCTTGTGCCCTTGACCAGAATCGAACCTGGGACCCTTCAGTCCACAAGGCAATGCTCTATCCATTGAGCCAAACCAGCTAGAGCCTTTTCTATAGTTTTTAAAAGTATGTTATAATATACTTAATGACACTAAATTATACATTTAAAAATGGCAAGTTTTGTTATACTTAATATGGAAAAAAGGTTTATAAAAAGTCAGATTATATCATTCTTTGAAACTCTCCAGTGGCTTTTTCTCCTCCTAAGTAAGATTCTACATAATCTGTCCCTCTCCCACTCCCACATCTCCACCATTCAGAACTCATTTCTTACCATCCTCTCCATTTTGTCTCCAGTGACAGTGGCCTTTTCAGACTCTCCAACTATCATACAGCCTCAGAGCATTTCTATTTGCTGGTCTCGCCGCCTGCAGCACACTTCCCCTTTAAGTTTCCACAGGATAAGCTTAATCATTTTCTTCAGGTCTCATCACTGACCAGCCTATGTATAAAGCAGCACTTTCTTTCTCTGCCCTCATATTCTCTATCCCTCATATTCTGCTTTATCATTATGTAGGTCATCATGTCACTCATCACCCTCTGACATATATTTATTGGATATTTGTTTAATGTCTGTACCTTTTTCCATCTATATATATATATAAGCCTAATATGCAAATTGTCCCCTTGGGAGTTCGATCACTCGCTATGACATGCGCTGACCACCGGGGGTGGCGCGTAACGAAGGCAGGCCCTGGGGCGACAGCCAGAAGGCCCCAATTGGCCCTGGTTGCCAGCCAGGCCTAGGGACCCTACTCGTGCACGAAGTTCATGCACTGGGCCTCTAGTTAGAATACACTGAGTGGCCAGATTATTATGACCATCCCATCAGTACTCCATAGACACTTCCAAAAATACTGAATATTGAAAACTCCCTAAGCAAATACTCTCAAGGTTTCATTATTATTATTATTTGCATAATTAATTCACTTCATTGTACTGATGGGGTGGTCATAATAATCTGGCCACTCAGTATATAAGTTCCTATGAAAAAAATAGTATGTAAACTGTTATATCCTTACCACTTAGCAAAATGCTTGGCACATGAAAGGTGCCCAAATGGTGAATAAATAAATAATGATGCTCCTTGACTCATATTTTTTAAACAAAAACTAGAAAACATCAATAGAATAACTTCTAATTATGTGCTATGCATTATGTAAGTATATTGATGTGCCAACTACTCTTAGCTGTCTGGAATTATCTTTCAGTAAGTCATTTTATTTTCTATTTTGACCGTATTTTATTTTGCATGCCCCTGACTGGGGATCCAGTCCACAACTTGGGCATGTGCCCTGATAAGGAATCAAACCAGCAATCCTTTGGTGCACTGATGCCACCCAACCAACTGAGCCACATCAGCTAGGGCTCAAATATGTTTTGTTTTGTTTTGAAATATATTTTTATTGACTTCAGAAAGGAGAGGGAAACATTAATGATGAGAATCATTGATCAGCTGTCTCCTGCATGCCCCTACTGGGGATTGAGCCCACAACCTGGGCATGTGCCCTGATCTGGAATTTAACTATTACTTCCTGGTTCATAGGTTGATGCTTAACAACTGAACCATGCTGGCCAGGCTCAAATATTTTTTTTTATATTCAGAAGAAAAATTATGAATATTAACTTTAGACATTCTAAAGTGTAAGAATCATGTTCTCTCTTGCATCGATGTTTCTCTCCCTCTCCCTTTCTAAAAATCAATAAAAAATCTTTAAAAAAAGAAATATTTGAGATGTGAATTTCTACTGCCAAAAGCTCAACTAAAGCATTGAAACTTTGTGTATATATATATA